TAGAAATAGAAAATAAAAAAAAGCGCAAATAAAATGAAAAAAGAAAACAAAGAAACACCACGTTTCGTGAACCACGATGGTGGATGTAATGATCAAAGTTTAATAATAAGTGAAATTTATGAAAAATTACTTCTATTGTTTTATTTGTCACTCCAATTACAAGACAAATTGCAAGTCAACAATGTGTTAATATATTAAAAAAGTACAAAGAGGGGATTATTATTTAAAGCATGAATACTATATGGGATGACAAAGCCAGGAATCATTTTGTTACATGCCTCCATAGTTGATGTTATGGGCGACACCTATAGAAGGATTTTCTTTTACCCTAGGGTAGAACGCTTAGTCCTCGCCCTCGAACCCTCCTTCTATGCTACGCGATTGGTAACAGATTTAGAAATTTCAACTAAATGGAGTTGAGTCTCAAATGTCATTTATTTCATTGTTAGAAATACATTCCAAACATTTTCTAAATAAATAGGAACAGTACAATATTAAAACAAACACATCAAAATTGATCAATTTCAAGTGCAATGCGTCATTAATTTTGTTTGCTTTTAATACAAAAATAATGTCAAAAATAAATTCGAATGCGTCGTCGTCCACACACACACACACACATATACACTCTCACACATGCACAGAAGGTGCAAGTGCGTGACCACCATTCTCGAAAGGATGTTATGGAAAAAAAGTAAAAAAGAAGCAGAATAAAGTGGGGGAACATCATTCGTGTTGCGGATCGGTACACACTATTCTATAAACTCGTACGTAGAAGGCGGAAGGACTTGCAAGTGTTCGAATAAAGCGCGGTCAGTCTGAAAATCGACGTTATTCGTGTAACAACTTGCGTTTTTCCTTCTTCCTTCGTTAATAACAAACATTTTTTTACTACCCTTCTCTATCTTATTATATTTTTGTGATAAACAATGTTGCACTAGGCAGATATAATATAAAACGCGATTATTACAAAACGTATTCCGACTTAAATCTATCATCTATCAAGAAGAAAAAAAAGAGAAAAAACACAAACACATATGCACTTAGTGTAATAGATATGAAGAGTGCCGTTGTACCTATCCGTTCGCGAGATTCGTAATAATCTAGTTTAGAATTTCCATCGGTGATTTATAGTAATAATATCTATTCCAATTGTATCAAATACTCCAGTCATTTGTGATACATTTGAAAATACTTATTGTAATACTCGTTGCAATAATTGTGCAAATGTTGAAACGTTTAAACGATATTACGTTATTATACATAGTGGGTGATAAATTAAGAAACAAACAAAATCATAAATAATATTTAATAGCGGCCTGCTTTAAAGCAGCCGCGTGCCAAAGAATTATGCCATAAGCCTTATTGATAAACGGTGTGAATCAAAATTAACCCAGTTAAAAATTGCAAATTATTTCGCGTTAACGAAAAATACTAAAATATAAATTAAAAATTACATAATCCAAGAAAAGAAGACAAAAGGTGGGTGGACGACATCATCATCTGTTGGACAAAACGATTAGGCGAAGAAACAATTTGGAGAATATATTACTTCATGCTAAAGGTACGTAGTAATACAATTTGTCAGAATTCTTCTCTTGTAGCGGTTAAGAATCCTAATTATTAGCTTGTTGCGGTCATCACCCTGACGGAAGAAGAAGCAGAAGAAGTATCTTCTATATTATTATTATTATTATTATCACTTGTATTGCGTGTATCAAATTGATGTAAGGGATAATAGAGCAAATTTTACTATGTACGCACGTTTTAAAAGTAGCCCAAGAATCTACAAGTGGGTGAGAAGAAGGATAAAGGGGACTCAAGAAAATGAAATAACAATCATTGAACGTTATCTCGAATAAATATTATATATAAATTAATAATTTTTTTTTTAAATAAAATTTTCCTGTTACATTAGCGTAAGTGCTGCATCTCGTGGCGTTTATTGAAACGTTCAAAATAGTTCTTCAATGTGAGCATAAGTGTCACTGTAAATATCAAGAAATAGTAATCAGATGTTCGTCGCGTAATATTTATTATTTTTTTCATTATTTTTTTTTTCTGTAGTTAGGTCAATCCATGCTCAAGAGAGACTTTTTTTTCTTTTTTTTTTTTCCTTTTTGTTTATCCCATATATTCGTTCACGTCACGCTATGGTAAGTTAATGGCGTAGCTTCTTGTTAAAATTAAATTGTCGTAAAATATGAAACATGTAATAAACCGGTCAATCTTTCAACACGTATATATACTTCACGATATTGTAATAACTTATTCAATCAATGAGGAAAATTTTCAAACACGAAAAACTACCTATTTTATTGTAATTCATTTTTTTTTGTTTTGTTCTTTTTTCTTTTACTTTTAATGTATTTCATTAAATTAATCGAAAGTGAAAATTAGAAATGAATAGTAAATGTAATATTGTTCTTTCGTCTAATTAAATGATCCTTATTGAGTAATATAAAATGACATCTTTATTATGTCTAACCATAAACAGTAAAAAAAACAGAAAGAAAAACAAAAAACAAAAAAAGTATATCTAGCAAGGCGTGAAATTCAAATGTTATGCATCGTTAAAGTATAAAACATAAATGCTGCCGTGATTCGTATCAGTATGAAATAACGTAATATTTACGTTCATCATAAAAATCATTTTTATTATATCTTTTTGTTTAATATTAACGCGAAGAGAGTAACTTTCTAAGTTAATAAATTACAATTTGTAATTTAAATAAAAAAATAAAAAAAAGAAAACGAATTATTATAATACCGATTGGAGGTGGAATACTTTTATTTCACGAAATCTTGTTACAATGTAATCTCGTCACGCGCGTGCAAAAAAAAAAAAAGAAGAAAAACGCGTATAATGCTAATGCTTATCACGTATAACAAAATTACAAATTCGTATCACATTTTTTTCTTCTTTTTTAACACAAATAATGAAAATCTATTTCGTCCTATATAAAAACGAGTTAAAAATGAATTCGTAACAATTTACATATACATATAACATTTCAATCCCGAATAAATTGCACGATTTTGATTAAAAAAAAAAAAAAAAAAAAACAGATAGAAGAAATATTAAAAAAAAAAAAGGTTGATTTTAGAATTGATAAAACTGTACTTACGTGTAACACAATTGACTAACCGTTAACCGAATATAAGGGAGACACTGGGTCAGGAATTTAGTAAATTTCTTGATAAAAAAATAAATAAATTAGACATAAGACATATATGGTTAAATCCAATACTCGATAGATATGGAAAAAAATATATATATAGATATTTTTCAGAATTTATGCAAATAAAATAATGAATAAAATTTGCATATTTAATTTAGTATCAAGTTAGCCGCCAAGCAGTTCGTTAGCCTTCCATAATATACTGTATACATATGTATGTTACGTATATTCATCCACGCTTGTAGCTTTCAGCAGGACGTAATAATGCTCCTTTGCGTAATAAATTTTTATATATATATATATATATATATGTATACATTTTTTTATACTCCGTGATTTCGGTTTAAGAGAAAAAAAAAAACATTTTCGGCTCGTAAAAATTTGCGATATTTGTATCGGATACCAACATTCGAATATAACTCGCAACAAATACCGTTATTGATCGTAAACAGAAGGCCAAAAAAAAAATAAGAAAAAAAAGTAAGAAATAACAAAAAGTTGATATTTATATGTATTTTATAAGACAGTCGTTGTTAAATCTATTAGCTTGATGTTTTAAATTAGTAATACTGGTAGATAAGATATATTATCTAAAGACGTGATTCGAATCATATACCATCGCAACCATAATTATATATCATTATATCGCGTAGGTAATGTTATTCATGTGTGCTATTACGGAATAATCAGCGTCCAATTTGAAACAGAGATTAACCCCCTTTAAGGAAATAACAAGTTGATTTATACGAAAACTAGAATCAGATTTGGACAAATTTGCATTTAGGACAACTTTACTGGATTCTAACGTGAGAGGAAAAAATCCCTTAATATTAGAATTTCAAATATCAAGACGCACGATTAACGGTTTAAAGTCAAAAAACTGGTATCGATTCACGAATACCAAATTGCACAAGTAGTTTGATTCGTTGACTACCGGTCCAATTCAAGGTGGTACGTCGAAATATTCAGGTCGTTGGAATTTGTATTCTTACGGTGTGTGCTCGTTCAACTCTTTCCTACCTTCTACCTTCCTCTCGCCCCCTTTTTATCCATCTCTTTACCTTTTTCCTCGGAGTCTTCTTAACCGAGTTCGGTGATAGCCGTTATATCGACGGTCACGTTGTCTTTCCACGTGTAAAACTCCCTCATAGCTTTCCTTTGGATTGACATCAAATCATCAAATCACAACAAATCAAATACACTTCTTTTTCTTTTTCACCAATATTATTATGTACATATTATTAAGTATGTATAAAACAATAGGAAGATAATAAATAAATAAGATGTAAGAGAGTTGGCTATAGGCAATAGTTGCGATTACCGGTTACCGACTACTCTTAGAACGATCAAACTGTTAATCCGTGATACGTTAAGGTGTTCTAGGCATATCACGTTAGGCTTTTTCACCATAAAGAAATTCTTGACTTCTTTTTAGAGCAAATCACACACTAGGCTTGGTCACTCTCGACGATGATTTTGCAGACTATTCATACTGTTATATCGTACCAACAACAATCGTATAAGTAGGACGAAATTGAAAAGAAACAAAGACAAAATAAAAAATTTTCGAAAGTATTCAAAGGATAATTATTTCCAGTCACGTTGAAACAATCGAATTCGTAAACTGTCCTATAAATCGTGGCGATAATTTTAAACTTGCAAGTAATGAATATTCAATATGATTTTGGTTGCAGAATTTAGCAGAGTTTCAATATGAGAAGGAAGACTTTGGTATTATTGTTCGTTATTCTCGTATTAAAACGATCCTATTCGAGTTCTGGAAACGAATACGGTGATGGCAATCATCATCGACAAAAAAGAGTACTATGGATAACGAACGATGGTCGGATAGCTTTACCACCTGGCACAGTAATGACTATAACACCTACATTGGCATTACCTTTTGTCAGATATCCACCTTACGGATTTTTAAGTAACATGACTATTAGTCTACCCTTTACGAGTAAGTTGAAATTTATTCGAACTTAGAAAACAAAGTCACAGCATCATAATATTTGATTTTTATTTACAGTCGACTTTGACAAATTAGGATTAACGGATAATGAAAATCCTTATGGTGCGTTGCCACCAGCATTCGACAGAAGTGCACGCGGTAGAAAAGCTGGCATGATTATGGCAGATTTCATAGCGGCATTTATAAAACGAAGACTTCACAAAAGAGATACCATAGAAATCCCAAAAGATGCTTTTCACGGTGGAGAAAGAGCTTTACTTTATGGGACAGCCGAGGATATGTTGAGCACCATGGGTTTAGATGGAAAAGCTTGCCTATTGAGAGCCATTTGTGAAGTTCATGGTCATCCCCTCAACAATTTTGGTCTCATTGGAGAAATGTTAAAATTATTATTAACGTATGATAATTAAAATGAATTTTTCTATTTTATTTATCGGTTCGTGTGAAATATAATATACATATATACAATTGTTCATATATATATATTTAACGAAATTTTGATGAAATTAGGGCCAGCAAATCGCCATTCGCCAATATTCTCAACGAATACGTGGAAGCTGAAAATAGAGGAAAATTACACGGAGAATGTTGGCCGTATTTCAAAGATTGTCCCAAATCTTTGTTCCTACCCTCTATTAATAAATACACGTTAGTTAACTGTATCCAATCAATTTCATTTCTTTTATAATATACTAAGGTGAAACTAAAGTTTGTAAGTTTATCATTTATATTTCGTTACATGTTACAGGAGAAATTCCGTCCATGATAACGACGATACAGAAAATGATGATATGTGGAATCAAATTTCGCGAAACATCGAGGAAGATGTAGTCGTCGAAAGGATACCAAAACAAAATACTAAACATACGATACATCCATCTATGTAATAATAATAACAACAATATAAGGATAGATAATACGATATATCATATCAATAATTAATTTATACATAAATCGTGATAATATTTGTTATCTATGTAAATGTTTATAGTAGCGTATAATTTGCATTTTTTACTGTGTCAAAGAATAGTCAATTCAAGTTCGATGATTTATATAATTTTTATTACACATATACCATTACAATATATTACTATTCAATAATTGCCAAATAACGAATGTTTGTTGAATAACATTCATATTAGAAATAATATTTATAGTTATATCTATAATACGTAATATATGTAAGTGCAACAGATATCAAAAAACAAAATGATTATATTATTAACAAAATGATTATTAAAAATTATTTCAATTGGAAAATTTGTATTTTATTACCGACTAATAAAATATGTACCGTCATCAAGCGGTACTAGCTATTACTTCATTTTACCAACTGGTAAAAAATTTATCGCCATCTAGCGGTAATAATTATTACTTTACTGCACAAGGGATAACAATTGATAACAAGAATTAATTTTTTTAGTTTCAAATAATACTCCATTTAAAACGATCAACACATAGGCAATTGAATTGTTAACAATTTATGATCAAAACACTGATGAATGTTTAATAATATTATAATAATAAAAATGTGTAATATGACAATCATAATATGACGTCAAAATATGGTTGGTGGTAGGGTAGATGAAAGAGGAAAAACAAAAAGTGTGTCTGCTGCTACTGCTAACTCACTTCAGTGTCAAAATGTACGTTTTAGTGGGTGAACATGGAGTCAAGAAAATATTCTCATTGCGTCCAATTGATACTTGATCGTGTTAATGATATATTAAAATTACAAGAAGAATTTCATTATAAATGTTTATCGAAGAATGTTTAACAATTATTACCAATGTGACGTAGTATTGCATTATCGTTGTCATGCTCGTTTAAGAAAACAGATATGAAGAGGAGAGATAGATATCGCTAGGTGCGATATTATTATTATTAGTAATAGTATAGGAAAAACACGTCGGTTAACTATATTCGTTCGAATGGAATAATTTTCTAAAATAAAGGGAAAAAAAAGAAGAAAACTAAATCAACGCCAATTCTATTCGATGATTGATTAACAAGATATATTGTTCAATTTTGACGTTAGTCAATAATTTCAGCAAACAAATCCAGATAGTATCGAAATCACTAGATTTAGTGATACGTTTGCCAACACGGCAAACCTTGCTCATGTCATAACCGACAATTTTCGAAAAATTCTTAAACTTTAGGTACAATTAGATCATATAAAGATGGCTTGCGAAGCATGCAAAACTAAGTTTAATTTTTTTAAACGTAGAGTAAGTATATTATATATTTATTATCACATAAATAAAAAGAACAAAAACAAACAAACAATGTAACAGAAATATTAACATTGATTACGATGCAATTATTAGTTTTTTGTCACATTATATAATTTTTTTTTTTTTTTGTAAACATTAACAATGTTTTTATTTGATTTATTTTCTGTTTTTTTTTTTTATTTTTTTTTTATTTTGCTTCTTCTCTATGTTCACATCTCTTATCTTATTATGTATAATACCAAAACCTCAAATTGTTCTAACAACTTTTCTATTTTAGAAACAATGTACAGGCTGTCTAAGGTATTTTTGTTCGGAATGTCTTATAAAACGTATCGACAAAACATTTAATTGCGAGAATTGTGGCATGTTATCGCAAAGGCCACTTATTCGCAGTCAGATTATGCGAATGCGTTCCAGGGATTTACGCCAATATCTTTTAGCAAAAAAAGTATCTATTAAAGGATGCGTAGGTATGTAATAAATAATATTTATATGTGTATGTTGAAATGTATTAACATTATCATCATCGATATAGAAAAAGAAGACTTGGTAAACTTACTATTGATATATGCAAATGGTTCAACGGATAATTTAGAAGAGGAAAGAAATTCTACGATAACACATAATACTGTTACAGAAGAATTGCCGTACGTATCCATTTATTTAAAATACAATTTTAAAGATTCATATAGCACAATAAATCATTGTACGTATTAATTATTTATTTATTATTGATAGTCAAACAAGTACTGCAGATGTTACGTTACCTGATACACCAATACAATTAGAAAATCATACAAATGTAGTGACTGAGGAAGTAAATACAGAACGCATTGAATTGCAACCGGAATGCGTGACAGTTAATAATATAGAAATAGAAGAAGTATCGGCAAGTGATTGTAGTCCAGATAACGGACCAGAGCCTTTAATTACTGAACAAGATGAAGATTCAGAAACATTAGATATAAAACAATCGACTATGTTAACAGAGATTCCTGTGGTAAGTTTTATTAATTTTTAGTAATATATACGGTTTTTATTTATATCTAATATTAAGACTAAAAACCATTTTGTTGAAACAGTGGTCTGGTCTTGTCAAGCTATCAGATATAAATGAATTATCACAATTGGAACACTTAAGTGTGAAACAATTAAAAACTCTTTTAATAACAAATCGTGTTGACTTTAAAGGTTGTGTTGAAAGGTGTGAATTATTGGACAGAGCATCTAGATTATGGGAAGAACATAATCAAGCTAGAGCAGGTAATATTTCTAATATATTTACAATGATTACAATAATATTAATGAAAAACATTGAAGTGAATAATAATTAATATAAATATATTCATAGATATAGATAATATAGATACAGAAGATATTTGTAAAATTTGCTGGGATGCACCAATTGAGTGCGTAATTTTAGAATGTGGTCACATGGCATGTTGTATTAATTGTGGGAAACGAATGTCCGAATGCCCAATATGTAAACAATATGTTGTTAGAGTTGTGCGATTTTTTAAAGCTTGATGAAGTAAATCATTTTAATAACTGAATTTATAGTATTTCAATTTTGTGATGTACAAAGAACAACAGAGTATATAGAAAGAAAGAAAAATGAAAGAAAAAGAATATCTAGAATTATTGTGTTTGCTTTAAAAATAATTCATAATTAGCAAAGAATCGAAATAGTATTTTAAAAAATTCAATTCTATTAAAAAAAGATAGATAAAAAGAAGAGATATGTAAAGATTGTTTCGTTGATGTATGCTTTCAAAAAATGAATATTTTTAAATTTACTTTTATATATACGCATGGAGAAAATATTACATTAACAAAAATATTTGAATGTTATGTTTCTATAAATGAATATTTGTTAAAACTGTTTCATGTAAATTTAATTATATCTAATTATTTATCATACTTCATATTATTGGAAAGCATATACAGTAATTAATTATATATACATATATATATATATAAATATAATTAAATTTTACCAAGAGTTAGATCTCAATTACTAAAAACATTTGTATAAAAGCTGTGATATTGTCATATTATCACAAGTAGATAGCAATGTATAGATTTATTGTATAAAATGTATTCTTTAAATATTAGGTACCTTACGTACCAAATTTGTGATATACAGAATTTCCTGAAAGAGGAAATAATCATCACTTATTACCTCTAAAATAAACATGCAACATATTCTGTTTATTTGATTCATATTTAGACAAAAGTAAAGGTAATTTTTTATGTCTTTTAATAATAATATTTTTCAAATAATATAGTAATTTTTTATCATTAACATAACAAATGAATGTATTTTTTCATAGAGCATATTAATTGATTCTACGCATGAAAAGATGATGGTATAGATGTTATACTAAAATATATGTAAATAGCAGCAATATCAATGTTAAAGTATTGTATTGAACAAAATTATCAAATTAAATATTTCAGATAAAAAAGAAATAAATATATTATATTATCGCTGTTCTATGATTTATACAAATATTATTTAACTTCTTACTAAATATTTCATCCTTTTTTCTTATCATAATTTACAATCAACATTTAACAAATTTTTAAACACACAAATCTAAGATTATTTAATAAAAATATAAATATTAAAAATGAAAATAAAAATTAAAAAATTATGTTGTTGTTATTGTGTTGTTATATAATAATATACATATTTTTGTTTCATTCAATCTTTTAATGACCAATAGTGATTAAGAATGTCTTGAAAGAAATGTTAGTGATTGGTATTTTCTTTTAAATCACTTAATAATATGAACATATTCGTGCATTTGAAATATGACTTAAATTGTCAAAGATTACGATGCTGCTCGTTTCTTAAAATGAAAATAACTTTATTCGATTAATTTCGATATGTTAATAACGCACGAATATACGTTTTTCTGAAATAATATAAATCTAATTCTGGTCAAATTTAATGTTAAAGAGTTTCTCATTTGACATTAAATTCAGTGAATCGTATGTTTGTAATTTATAATTATTTATTATTTAAATAGTTTTTCAAATATCTTTTTGTGAAATAATTTTTATAAGAAATACGTATATATATATATTTTGTTTATAAATATTATTTGTTCGAAAATAAATTTAAATAAGGCGCGATTAAATTTGAGTCACGTTGTACCGGTATATTCTCCTATCAAAATAGGTACAGTAAGTACTAGAAACGTGACCGAGAGTTACTTTTGGTTATATAGTAGTACTTTGTCGAAGTTGGGTGAGAGAGAATTATTCGTAACCTTCTTAACAAGATTAAATAAACTCGTTTATTTAACATATTAGTATATTATAAATCACTAATATACTTAATTATATATACATCTGTATATATGGCTTCATTTGAAGAAGTAGATCAGCTGGACAGTGGTATGGGTAGCAGCGACGTTCGTTCCCCCGAAGTTAAATCTCTTCTTCCTAATGAAGAAGAAGATGAGGAGGTATATTTATTTTCTGCTAATATATCTATGATATTTGATCAAACTAATTTATCCCACATATAGCTATTATAATCTGTTTATATCTGTTATTATATCTGTTTGTTTCATTTGATGATTTTATAACAGTAACAAATAATAATTTAAAAAATAGTATACTTTGTGAAATTAAAAAAAAAATGTCAATACCTTAACTGTATATTACAATGTTTAGAATTTTCTTTCATTTAGGATGAAAGCTTTTCAGAGAGGTTATTAGGACTTACCGAAATGTTTCCTGAAAATGTTCGCAAAATTGGATATAATGTTGGATCTTGTATGTGCACTTGTGTCAAAGGTTTGTTATAAATCTAACATTTATTTTTCTAATTGAAAATTAGATTTATTTGAAAATATTTTTATTTCATTTCAGGTTTATATTCATTTTCATGTTCGGCAACATGGCTCTTGTTTAGTTCATCCGCTATTTTATTTGCACCAGTGTTCTTTGAAGTAGAGCGTGCTCAAATGGAAGAAGTTCAACGCGTTCAACAAAAACAGATGCTACTTGGACCTAATTCTGCCATCTCTAATGTTAGTGCCTCTGGTCTTCCAATGGCTCCACCCGTTCAACGATAAATAATTATAATTTGGCCACCAAATAAATGTGCATTAACTTCTGCCATTCAACTATTTATCAGCATAATAGTATCATTAATCGTAAATATCATCAGAGTATATATTGATCAAGTTATAAATCAATTGTATATCTTATGGTTTCAATTCTTCAACTCTAAATTCCAACATTTGCATTTGTTTAGTTACATATTTAGAAAATTATATTAAAACTATCTAATGACATATATTTTTTGGACTAGTAGAATGATAATGTATGTATAAAACTTTTATCTTCAGGTGTAATTTTTAATACATAGTGGTAGAGCGAAGAATTTCAATATTTTATCATATTTTTTATTCGTCTTGCATTTTTAAATAAATTCTAAATGATAGCGTGTAATGTGTCAAAGCACCATCACTGGGGTATCACAAGATCAAACTTTCATGAATAAATATTTACAATAAGTTATACTTTATTCACAGGAAATGAGTCAGGATGCACTGTTGTTATTTTTAATCTATATGTTATTGTAATATGTTAAATAAAAATAAAATTATATCTCATTAGATTTTCTTCCTAACTTAGTACAAGATTAGAATGTACTTGCTGGGAAACAAATTTTTCATAGTAAGAATAAGATATATAATATTTATTAATAATTTAAACAAATTACTTTTATATTTACTTATATGTTTTATATTTACCTTTTCATAAATTTATTTTATTTATAATTACAATAACAGTAGATATAGGTTAATGAATTCATTTTTATAAATATTTCAATTGATTAATTAAATTTAATTTAATTACACCTTACTAATTTTATCATTAATCATTTTTTTTAATAATAATACTCGAATTTATTATCTTTACTTCTTAATGATAATACTTATGATGTGATAGTAGTGCAGTCTGTTGCGAGATAGCAAGAGGTGTTGAAACATGAATCAAGCTAACGTCGAAAAATTAGTTTCTAAATTAAAATACAATGTAAAACCAAAACGTAAATTAAGAAACTCAGATGGTCCGGTAGGAAGGATTCGAAAAATTCAAAAAACTTTAACAGCATTGTTGAAATATGAAAGAATCGAATTAAATTATGGTCGAGCCGATGAAACAAGAGGTTATGTTGAACGTGTATGTATTTTATATTATTGTTCATTTATATGTAATTATTACTTTCCTTATTCTTTTCTTTTTTTAATAACATATTCGTTATTTGTTTCACAAAATGAATTAAGCATAAATAATTAAAATAAAATTTAGTGTTAATTTGTCAAAGTAATATTTTCTATATTGTACGTAGTTAATATCAGAAGCTGTTCGTAATGGCCCGGATAATGTAGAAACAATGAATGTGGCAAATTTCTGGATTCTTGAAAAACAACTTGTTCATAAACTTTTTAAAGTACTTGCACCAAGGTATAAGGACTATGCGGTTTCTTATACAAAACTTCATAAAGCACCGTACAATTATCCTGAGAGTAGATATCCAAGAGCTGTTTTAGAACTTAGAGGTAATATTTATTTATTATAATTTTATTGAGATTTTTATAAGAATTACAAATTGTTTTTTGTTTATGTAATAATACTATTCTTTTCAAATAACAGGAAATATATATCCAAGCGTTGAACAAAATAATCCAAATGAACATAATTTACTCCACAATATATTGCTTAGCGCAGCGAGAAAAGAATTTAGACTGGAAAAATACAAAGAAATTGCTGACAATATAACAAATAATAATAATAATGCAAATAAATAATAGAGGTAATTCAAATGTATTGATGTTTCGTTTTCTCTAAATTTAGTCCTAGAAAATATTTATTATAATAAATACAAATTAATAGTAATTATGAATATGATATTATTTGTTGTATTTCATATAAAAACTTCAATGTTTTTATATATTTATTACGTTTGCTAATTTATATTAAATATACTGCACACGATTGCAAAAAATGATAAAGTATGTAAACATATATAATTAATAACAAAATAATCATCATTTTACTATCTCATCAAAAAATAATTTATAAAGCAAATTTTTTCAATGGATAATGCTCTTGATATGTTGCAAGATGTTCTTCCATGGAATGCATTTGATCTCTGAAATACAGAATGTTAACCAGCATTATTTAGATGAAAAACATTAATCAGAAAAATTGTATAATATACCTTATATGTTCTGGCATGTTACAGTAAGTGTCTGTAAACATTTCTTTCAAATGAGGTTTAGGTTTTTTCTCTGCTTTAGAAAAAGCATCTAAGATTTCTTTCTTTATCATTTTTTGCATATCATCTTCCTGTTCTTGATTCCAAAGACCTAAAGATTGTATATATCGTTTAAATCTTTGAATCGGTGCGGCATTATTCCAAAGAGAAATTTCTTCGTTGGTTCTATACGCTGTACTATCATCAGATGTGCTATGGTGGCCAGCGCTAAGGACAATATAATATTCAATATTTTAGATAAATTATTATTTAAAAAAATATGACTAGTATAGTATTAAACCGTATTATTTTCATACCGATAAGTTAATGCTTCTATTAAAACAGGTTTTCCTTCGCTTATGCATAAATCACGAGCAGCTTTTGTCGCATAATGTACAGCAAGTACATCATTCCCATCTACTCGAATTGTATCAATTCCATAACTCGGTCCTTTTGCTGCAATACCATCTCCTTTATATTGTTCATTCGTAGGTGTTGATATAGCATAACCATTGTTGCGACTTAATGAAATATTTCATATCATTTCAAATGAGGTTATTGAAATTAAATGAATAAAAATTTGATCATTTACCAGAAAAATACTACTGGGCATGCTAATGTAGCAGCAAAATTAAAAGCTGCATGAGCATCTCCTTCACTGGCCGCACCATCTCCGAAATAACATATTACGCATGATTTTCTTTTTTCCCTTTTATATGCGTATGCTGCACCTACAGCTATATACATATATGTAATTTTATATATATATATATATATATATATTAGAATGTATATTAATAATATGAATTTGTATAATATCAAGAATTATAATCGAACACCTTGTGGCAACTGTGTTGTTAACGGAGATGATATGGTCATAAAATTTAAATCTTTTGATCCATAATGAACTGGCATTTGTCTTCCTTTTCCTTCATCTTCGACATTTCCATAACATTGATTCATAAATTTTTCAATTTGAAAGCCACGCCAAAGTAATACACCTGTAATTAGAAACGATATTATATTCCAAGACAAATATTTGAAAAGTGTATTAATAGAATTGATTTTAAAAATTCTTACCTGCTTCCCGATATTGTGCATAAATCACATCTTGCAATGTTAAAGCAGATGCCGAACCAATTTGAATAGCTTCCTCTCCAGTATGTGTCATATAAAAAGATATACGACCTTGTCGTTGTGATTCGTACATAATTTTATCCATTATAGTGAGTGTTACCATATCACGATAAATTTTAATCATTGTTTTATCATCCAACTTTAACATAGAAAACAAATTTTGTTTATTATGATTTTTAATTGTATACAAGAAAAAGGCTTTGTAAATTTATACATATCATTAAAAAAAAAAAACCTTATTTTCTTGAAGAAAATGTGCTTGTCCAGTTGTATCTAGGATTCTATATATAGGAATAGGTTCATAATTATTTACATTAATAAATTTTAGGTGATTTGTAAAATTATTTTTAATTCCAGGATATTGTGGTTCAATGAAAACATTAGCAGTGTTACCATAATGTCTCACCTAAAATTATATGATATTATTATTATATTGAATATAATAAAAAGAAAGATTTTTTATTAATATGATAATCTTACTGATGTTTGCCATCTCAAAGAAGATAAACGTGATATTATTTTGATTAAAGAATATGTAGCCATTATGACTGTTTAAAGGTTGACTTCTTAATCAAAACTAAACATCTCAACTTATGCAGTCGTTATGTATACTATTTTATCATAATATGATTATTCTTACGACATCATACACTTTCGTCATCTTCCATAGGCGGCGTAAAACCTTGAAAAAAATATTATAAATACAATGAATAAACAAATATCAAAACTCTCATGAATTTTTTGAAATATATATCATATATTAAAAGTGTTGAGTTTCAACAAAAATCGACAAAAATGATTGAAAATTAATATTTAATATTTGAATTATCGCGTTACTAATTAATTTAACATACATTATATTATAATTATAAGATAAAATGTATTTTTCTTTTTTTTTTTTAAGTCACTGTGTATATATAGTATTGTTAGTCATATATATATAACTGGAAAAAAGAAGAAAAAAATTGTAGATGGCAGTACGGTCAAAAGATAAAAATTGTAATGAATAGGCGGTATATTCTAAAAACAAAGGTTTTCTTCAAACTTTGTGTATTCTTATGAGTACATTAGGACAAGTTCTATTTACTATTGAAAGAACGATTCATCTAATCGTAAACTTCTTAATACGAGGTAAGTTAAATTACTTTAGTTGAAAATTTCATTTCTTTTATAAAATATATATATATAGATATGAATATATACAAATGTTGTATTAATATGATTATATTTATAATTATGATTTTGATCAATTTTATAAAGAACAATTCCATATAATTATAACCTGTTTCAAATAATTAGCAGTATTATTCGGTAAAGAAATATATTTTTTTCAAACATTTCAACTCACTATTGTATATATATTAGGGTAGGTCAAAAAAATGACTTAATTTTTTTTTTTCACGTGCCACGGAAAAATGGATTGCTAGACACCTTAAAACAATTCTCACTAAATATAAGCTCTTAATTTTAATAGGAAGATCCTCCGCATCGCAGTTTTTTATTTTTTTTCAGTCCAATAGATTAAAATTCATACCTCATTATTTATTGATTGTACAGAAAAATGTTCTAGACAAATTTTGTAGGAAATTTATTGCTCTACAAAAAAGGTATCTTATATTTTTACCGTAAACCTCACCATTTGAATGATATTGAAGATTTATTATATTTGATGATTTTTAGACAAATTTCATTTTTGTTTATAAATTTTATAACTCGACAATAAATGACTATTAAAAAGTGCACAATACAAATTTTTGTAGGAAATTAACTGCTCTATAAAAATGGTATCTTATGTTTTGGCGATTAAATTAAGCGTTCAAAAGGTATTCATCATCAAACTTTCATGTGTACTGATTTTTGTCTCTGAATGAGAATTGTTTTAAGGTGTCTAGCAACCCATTTTTCTGTGACACTTGAAAAAAAAAAAAAATATATATATATATATATATTAATATTATATTGTAATTATTTTGAAATATATTTGTTTTAGATAATCGCAAGTAATAAAACAATGGCTGAAGAAAATAATAATGATCGAATGAAATATGGTATAGGCAGAAGTTCAACGCTTCTGCAAAAGATAAAACAAATGGCAAAAAATGAGCCTAAAGTCTCTAATTTATTCGGTGTATCTAGTTCTACATACCATCAAGAGCCGGTTTCATTGTCGCAGTCGCAAGCATCGAGCACTGTTTTGCCTATTATAAGAGGTGGAAAATCTTTTCCGTCGACTTTAACACAAATTGAAAGCAACGTAGAGGAAACCTCAACTACTTTGACTGTGGGTAAAGGAAGAGCAACTTTTAGTTGTCTTAGAAAAATAGCGTACGTGTTCATTTATTTCAATCAATTTTCATTTGATGTTCTTCTATATTGATATAATATTTGTATAGACCAATTGGACAGCCCCTTTTGCCGGAACAACAGACCAGAGTACCTTCGAATAAAACACAGCAAAATGTTATAAGACAACCTGCGATAATATATGAACAATTATCTGCTTCTAATGATGACACCGGAGTATTAGGGAAACTGTCACAACTTTCTGTCTATGAAGCTCCTTCTTCTTCTTCTTCTTCTACATTAACTACTGATGTAAACCAAAAATTACAAGTAATCAACCGTCAAGGTACAAGCGGAACTACGTAAGTACTTTTTAACATTTCATTTGTTATTTGTATGCTTTTATATTTATTTAATTATATCTTTTAAAAATCATGACATTTTTGGTATGTTTAGGGTAAATATATATAGTAATTACATCGATTTAAAACTAGAACCAGGTAGAGGAATATATCAATATGAAGTTAAATTCAATCCTGATATTGATTCAATAGCTCTGAGAAGAAAACTTGTAAATCAGCATGCAAGGAAACTTGGGAAAGCTTTGAATTTTGATGGTTCTCTTTTATATTTACCTCAGAAATTATCAGAAGAGGTAAAGGTTTTTCTCTTTTCTTTTTTTTTTTTTTTTATTGAAACTTACATTTTCAAATATAAATGTATAAATAAAACATAATAATATTCTTCTAGAAAATAGTTTATAATTCGGAACATCCACGGGATGGATCTTTAGTGACTCTTACATTTATTTTTAAAAAGAAAGAAAGCATAAATAAAAATATCCAATTTTTAAATATTCTTTTTGGACGCATTTTGAGAGCTCTTAATTTAGTTCGTATCGGTAGACAACACTTTAATCCTTCAAACGCTCATACTGTACCGCAACATAAATTAGAAATATGGCCTGGCTATATTACAGCTATTAATGAACACGAAGGAGGCATCAAACTTTGCGTCGATATAAAACATCGAGTTTTGCGTACGGAAACAGTTTATGATATTATGTAAGATCATAATTATATATACATTTTATACATATTTATGTATACAACAGTAATATTGAAATAATTGAAAGATAAACATTTGATTTTTTAGGAAGACAATTTATAATAGAAATCCTACTCGTTACAAAGATGAAACAACATGTGAAATTATTGGTACTAATGTTTTAACTCGATATAACAATAAATCTTATCGTATTGATGACATAGCATGGGACAAAAATCCAACGTATAAATTTGAAAGAAAAGGTAAGATGACGACTATAATGGATTATTATAAAAATCATTGGAATATAGAAATTAAAGACAAAGAACAACCACTCTTAATAAATCATTCTACAGAAATGGCACCATCTGGAGAGGTAAATATATTCTTCTTTTATTAGATACTTTATAATTCAATGCTTTTACAATAATATCAAATAATTCAACAAAAAAATATTGTTTTTTCAGTCATTAGAAAAATTGACACTTTTAGTACCAGAATTATGTTACATAAGTGGATTAACAGACAGTATTAGATCAGATTATAGAATCATGAAAGATCTTCATCAAATTACGAATATTAATCCTAACTATCGCAATGATATAATAAAAAAGTTTATACAACAAATTAAAACAAATGATGTAGCACGTGAAATACTATCTCCATGGGGCTTAGAATTTGATGACAATTTAACTAAATTTAATGGACGTATTCTAATGCCTGAACCTATATATTTTGGTAATAATAAAATAATTCAAGGAAAACCAAATGCCGATTGGAATAATGAATCTACGAAAAATCCTGTTTTACGTGCTGTAAGTAAGAATTATCATGAAACTTCACTACGAGATTATATTAAAATATAATTAAAATTTATTAATAAAAAGCAAAATATTATTATAGCCCAGTTTGACGAACTGGACAATATTTTATTATCAAAAAGATACACCAAATGTTACGGCATTCATAAAAACGGTAATTAATATTTCATCGCAATTGGGATTAAAAATAAATAAACCACGTGAAGTTCCTTTACCAAATGACAGAACTGAAACGTACTGTCGTGAACTTCATAAACACATTAATAATGATTTGGAAATGGTAGTTGTTGTTTTTCCTACCAATCGTACCGATCGATATTCTGCAATTAAAAAGTAAGACGAGATTTAATATTATTAATATTATTCATTTATTATTATTATTATTATTATTAATGTGAATCAAATGAAATCGTTTAATATTGAAATAGGTTGTGTTGTGTAGAAAAACCCATTCCATCGCAAGTTATAATGTCAAGGACCATTTCTCGTCCCGATAAATTAAGAACTATAACACAAAAAATAATGTTACAAATAAATTGTAAACTAGGCGGTGCTCTTTGGGCAGTTGATATTCCATTTGTATGTATACATATAGAATAATCTTTTCTTCTTTTTTTTTATTTCAAAAATATTATGAATAAATAATGAATTTATTTGTAGGATAAATGTATGGTATGTGGAATAGATGTATTTCATCCCGATCAAGGAAGTAGAAATCGACTAAGTGTAGCTGGATTTGTAGCTAGTATGGATAAATTATTAACATCCTGGCTCAGTAAAATTTGTCTACACAGATCTAATCAAGAAATAGTAGATATGTTACAGATCTGTTTTATTTCAGCTATCGATGAATATAAAAGAGTAATACATATTTACGCAAACATCATCATTTTGTCTTCATCAATTTCTTTACTTTTGTAACGTTACAAAATTATTTCATGAAAAAAACTATTATTTCAGCGTAACGGAAATTATCCAAATCGTATTATTGTTTATCGTGATGGTGTTGGTGATGGACAAATTCAGGTAATTACTAATTATGAAGTTAAACAATTATTGGAAACATTCACGCGAATAGATCCTAATTACAAACCGCAACTCAGTGTAATTGTTGTACAAAAGCGAATTAATACTCGTTTGTTTTATGAAGAAGTGAGTATAAAAACATAAATGATTAACATTATGAAAATAATTTCATGTGATGTATGACTATGTATAATTAAAATATTTTTGTCATTTTTTTTCCAAATTTTCAGAAAGGGAATTTAATTAATCCTGGTAGTGGAACAATCATCGATTCTTTTATAACAAGAGCAAATTTTTATGATTTTTTCCTTGTACCTCAAAGCAAAAATTTTGGTACAGTTACACCAACGCATTATATTGTTGCTTACGACGGATCAAATATGAAACCTGATCACATGCAACGTTTTACTTATAAACTTTGTCATTTATATTACAATTGGGCTGGCACCATAAAAGTTCCTGCTCCGTGTCAATATGCTCATAAACTTGCATTCCTTGTTGGACAAAATATCCAAATGGAACCGGATGAGAAATTGTGCAATAAACTCTTTTATTTGTAATTCATGGATAATCAATTAATGTATTTACTTTTTCAATAGACACAAACAGTATTACAAATGATATAGAAATAATACAAATCAATAATGATTTTATATATATTTTATGTTAAATCGTAGAACATATTTTTCGTACAATTTACAAGACTAGTAGACTAAAGATTTCAATTACAGAATCTACAAATATATTTTTATACATTGAAATATAAATTATATATTTTAATAATAAGAAATTATTATAGCAACTTATGTGTCAATGTTGTGCGTTTTTTTTTAAGTAGCATTACCAAAAGAGATAATTTTGTGAAAAAAAAACTTTCAAAATTTTTAATATCTTATATTTGTTAAAAAAATCTTGTGATAAAATTTTTGCAGAAATGTACAATAGAAGGAAACAATTACGTTTAAAAAAACAAACTATTGCATAATTCTATCACAAGATGGCACGGAATACATTGCATCGTGTCGTGTCGTGCAAAATTCATGGCGGGACCGACTGTTGTGCATTATCGAAGAGTGGTGGGGGAACACGTAAAATAGGTAGTGCATTTATGTATAATAATGTATGTGTTTGTGTGTGTAAGTGTATTATTTGTATATATATGTATATCGATAGTACGACAGTCGTACTGCGTATCGAGTAATCGTTGCTGTCGACCATCGTTACCACTACTCAACACGCTGGCGCCTGCGTACATCTTGTTTACAAGCAACAGCAGCGCGAAGCTTCGCTGTACACATGACCTTTACAAGATGGATACGAGTGAGCACACCGTCTTTTCTCAGGCGTGTCGGTTGACGACGACGAGTACCTGGTAAATAAGAACATTACGGGTTGTGAAAAACAATCGACAACGAGGAAGACAACAATATATCGTTTGTTTTTCTCATATATATATATCATAATAATTCGTAGCTACATAGAGAGGTATATTGTTGCAGTGTCACGATTCGTATGGTACTTCGGTAGTGATACGAATTAGCGTGGGTTACGACTGCTTTGAGTGACGCGATATTTGTGTTCTTGCCTGTGTGTGCACGAGACTGCGCGGAGTGCGAGGGAAAGGTACCAAGTAGTGGGGGAAACTGAGGAAAAGAGAAATATAGAAAGAGAGGGAAAGGGGAGAAAGAAAGAAAGAAAAAGAGAGGGTGAGAAAAAGAGGAATAAGAGGAGAAACAAATTCTTACCTAGTAGTAGGTAGTAGGATAAAAGGAGAGGGAGAGAAGGAAGAGGGAGGTACGTGTATCTGCTGCGTATATTCATCAACGACGCCTTTTCGTTGTTTCTTTTTCGTTATCGAACGTGCAAAAAAAAAATACCCTTCGTTATCGCGCGACGCGTTACATTTTTTTTGTCTCCCATTGTTAAATCCATCTCACATGGTGCGCGAGCGAAGTAGTGTTCTTCGATAAGAGAAAGAAAACAAAAAAACAACAAATTAAAATAAAATAAACATAAGTGGAGAGAAGTAAGAACGTGAATAAAAAAAAACAAAGAATAGAAAAAAAATGATGACCACTTCTAACACGACACGAGGACGACAACAATAAGGGTGGAAACAACAACACAACAACGACGACGACGACGACAACAACGACGACGACAGTAGTGACGGCGGTTTTGTTTTGACGTCGACCGTACGTACGGTATTGCGCGTGAAAGAATATCGGTGCTGCCCTTGGCAGTAGCCTATTTGTTCGCACGAGAGCAAGCTGCATTTGTAACACACCAGCCAGTCAGGCAGTCGGGCAACGATAAGAGGGGTTCAACCACCCACTTGCGTGTGCTTTCGCGTCATCTCTCCCTCTCTTATTCATTTTCCTTTACTCTCTGTATCTATCTCTCTCTTTCTCTCGTTCTCTTTCATTTTCTCTTCCTCCTTCCCTCTCTTTCTCTTTCTTTCTCTCTTTCTCTTTCTTTATCTATCTATCTCTCTCTATCTGTTTGTTACGCGCATGCGTAATGCATCTGTTCTCTTCCTATTTATCTCTTTTCCGTGTATACCGCGGTAAACTTGGCGCGCATGTGTATGCGTGCATCGCGTCGATGCAACACTGAGGCCTTCCTTCTGTTTTTCTTTCTCTCTATTTCTTTCTCTTTTGCACCCTTATACGTAGACACGAAAGAGAGAGATAAAGAAAAAGAGAGAGAGAGAAAGAGAGAGGAGGAATGGCGCGCGATCAAAGGCTCACGTAGTAAATCGTGCGTTCGCGCGATAAACAGGTGTAGAAAAGTCCTATGGTAAAAAGTTACATTTGGTTGCACTTTAAGAGCAAAGACAGTAAAGAGGAAAGTGAAAAAAGCAGGAAAGAAAAAATATCGAAATAAAGAAAGGAAATAAGATAAAGAAAGAAAGAAAGGACGACGGCCTTCCGTAGGCGGCGCGTGAATACTTCGTAGAGTGTCGTCGACCTGTTAACCTCTTGCGTTCCAAGATAGCGTGTGCAGATTCTTCGAAATTAATCGTTTAAAATTGAAATCTCTGTGTGGTTTGACAGGTGGACATTGTTGACATCGTGGGAGAAAAAAAAGGAAGAAGAAAATAGATACAATCATTGAATTTGTACCTTGACGGCGCATTTAAAAAAAAACGTACGTTTAAAGGCGTATCGTATCCTAACCTCTCTCTTGCTTGAGTAAGAGAGAGGGTGGGTGGAAGAAAGTAAGAGATTTAAGTGTTGTTTTCTACCGTACTGTCGAACAGAGTCGTCTCGATCGTAAACTAAAGTTTGCGGAAGACGTTCGAAGAAGGAATGGTGGGATTGCAAGGGGAGGGGGAGCTCTGGATGGAACGCCCTTAACGCGCGTTGCGAGTGCACATGCACCGGGCTTGCCGTGCGGCGTGCATTCGCTTATTTACAATTGACACGTGCTTTCTACTATACGTCTTTTACGGTGCTTCGTTTAAAAGACTTATATATGTTTATCAAATGTTTCACTGGATTGCGTTCCTTTGAATAAAATACATTTAGTGTATCATCTACTTTATCAAGTGTGGGTGGTAGGAAAAAGTAAGTGTTAGAAACCGTACAAAGAGAAAAGTGTGCGAAGTTGTGTTTGACGAAGGAGGTGAAAGCTGGTGGGGATTTTAAACGAAGAGAAAAAGAGAGAGAGAGAGAAAGCGAGAAAAGAAATCACGCGCGACACGAGCTCCGATCGACGCGCGCGATAATATCGACAACGCGCACGTCATGCTCGAGAGAACGGTTTGGTTCTCGATCCTCCTACTTTCAATCAGTAATACGTTTAAATCGCGAAACGATAATTCAAGGAACGAGATAAACACGAAGAGAAACTACGAGAACAACGTCATCGTCGTCAACGTCCTCGTCAACATCGTCGTCAACGTCGTCAACGTCGTCATCTTCTTCTTCTTATGCGATTACTTAGTGGTTGTTAAAGTAGAAGAATCGAAGAAGAAGAAGAAGAAGAATAGTAGTATTTCCACCTGACGCGTGTGTACTACTATTACTACTATTACTACTACTGCTACTAGGGTGGGAACACACATTTGCTTTCTCTCTCTCTCATTTGCTTACGATAATTTTGCTTTGTGATATCGTTAACCAACTAAGGAAAAATAATAAGTGTACCACTCCTCTCTTTGCAAAACGCATTGCCGAGAACAACAACACACACGACGATGTCATACTTCATCCGCGTGAGCTACGAATCTCGGAATACGCGGCACGTTAAAGTTACACGTTCGTTCGAAAGTAAAATGTAAAGAGAGAGAGAGAGAGAGAGAGAGAAAAAAAAGAGATAAAAAGAGAGAGAGAAAAAGAGAGTGCGTGTGTGTGTGCGTTTGCGTGCATGTGTGGTGTATATGTGTGAGCGAGAAAACGATATTTACGCGCGACAGGAGAACCCGTCGGCAATTTTTTGGTTTCTCGCAAGGACGGCTTTTCCGATTGTGGCCGAGGCAATGTCTTCGGGCAACAGAGGTTTGGCGTCCCCATCCCGTGGGCCTATTGTGCGTAGCGGGCATCTGAAAAAGCTTAAAACCTTGAAAAAGAAATATTTCGTTTTACGAGGCGAGGCACCGGGATATCCCGCTTGTTTGGAATATTATGACAGTAAGAAGAAATTTGAAAGCAAGCATTTGCCTAAACGCAGCATCCTACTGCACAGCTGCTTCAATATCAACAAGCGTGTCGACACCAAGCAAAAACACGTTATAGCGTTGTATACGAAGGACGAATGCTTTTGTTTGATCCTCGATAATGAAAAGGAACTGAATGAGTGGTTGAAAGCAATGCTCCTACTACAGAGCGGTGATGTACCTGAAGGTGAACAGCCTCGCCCTACGTTCGGTAAGAAAAAACAATATCTTATTATTTCATATTTTCTTTTTATTTTTATTTTTTTTTCAACATGTGCACGCTCTTTTACGTACGCTGTGTGACATGTTATAAAAAGCGCCAAAATCTTTCCCTTTAAATTATATATAAGTATATATATTTTGGATTCACTTCAAATAATACTTTTGATTAATATATATCGATTGGAACGATTTATTTTATCGTGATCATCGATAGTTACGATACGATTAGCCTTTATGATAATTGAGAGCTTCTGTTTACAATCCATGTACACGTGGAAATTATAAATAATATTTATCTCTTGCTTTTGGTTAAGTTATTATTATTATTAATAATAATAATATTTAAATCAAAGTATTTAATTATTAATTCATAATGATAAATATATTTAATTATCTGAAACAATATTTGATATTATTATTTGTATATAAGGTATCTAAATTAATATAGTCAAATTAATATACATATGTTTTATGTCATCATTCATGAAGAATCCTTTTTCATTTTATTATATATATATTGTCAGAGCACGTGTGGCAAGTTACTATGCAGAAGAAAGGACTTGGAGAACGAAAAAATATCAATGGGCCGTATAGGTTATGTCTCACTGATCGCACTCTAAGTCTAGTCAAAATTGGAGCTAAAGACAACTCCGATTCTATTGAATTTTCTGTAAGTATCTCATGTATTATTTAATAGATACAAACAGTCTCTTAAAAAAAAAAAACTTAATTTGTAGTTAATCTGCATAAGGAGGTGCGGTTATATGGAACGCATCTTTTACATGGAAGTTGGTAGATCCGCAGTGACAGGAGGTGGTGAATTTTGGATGGAAGCCGAAGATAGTAACATTGCGCACAACATGCATGCTGCAATCTTAAATGCAATGAGTAATTCGAATTCCTATAAAGACGAAGTTGGACCTCGTCAAAGGATGCGTAGTTCCTCGGCAAATGAAGCAAGTAAACCCATCTCAGTGCTCCAACGACGACATACAGGGCAAAAATTTCATAGCTTCTCACCTCTAGGTAAACAGAGTAGTTACCGATATACATATATATATATATAATAATACCATTTAAGTAACTTGTCTTTCATTTCATAATGTCAGTTATGGTTATTCAATGTGGTCAGTTGTCAATCAGACATGCTTCTACTCAATGTAAATATATAATATATTTAAAATGGTTCAAGGTGCACCATGTCTTATCTACTTTGCAGATGATTCTTCATTTGCAGGCTTGTGCATTTTAAGGATCTTTATTGCATTTTTTCTAGATACAAATATGAAGTATCCTCTGGGATATCATCGCTTACTTTGCATTAAACCATAACTGTGCAAATTTGATATTCTTTTTTTATGAAATATAAGCTGAATCACACTATATATATATTATTATTAAGAACTCAGCTTTAGAGTAACACAAGTGGGTTGCGGGCTTTACAGAGGAACAAAGGACGTGCAAGGAACAGGTGGATCCGTTGCAGGAACAGACCACTACTGCCTCTGCCCCCGCACAGTGTAGTCAATCTCAGAGTACTTCTTCCAATACGTTCACGGGTCTGTTCTCTGTCACAGTAGCTGTATGCTTCTTTTTACGGGATTTGCAAATTATAAGAAAGAAAAGATAATAACGCGTACAATGTGGCACGATATTTTTTTCAATATTTTCTTTTTATTTTTATTCTGCTTGTATTCAATTCTTATGTACGATTTTGGAAATATGTGGGTTGTAACATATAATAGGGTATTGTAAAAACGGTTGAGCCTTTGTCTCTGTGATAAGCAAAAATAGATCATTATTTATATAACAATAGATATTTTGATAAACATGGAATAATTTCTCCTTTTCTGAAATATATGAATTGACGAAAAGCGAATAGTTAAAGTATGAAATTCAGATTTGATCCATTTTTATAGTCTGTTTTTCTTACTATAATAATGTTCGTAGTTATCCGTTCTTATCTCTTCCTGTATTTGGAAAACAATCTTCTATTAATCATCTTGTTCTATCAAATCTAATCTACGGATCAAATATCAATTTAATATCTTAACTACTGGCCTCTTGAAAATTCATATATTACCTAGTTGAAGTATCTAATTCTTTCATATATATTATGGAATTTAGTTAAATGATCTAATTAGCATGTGCACTTGGGTAAAATGAACATGTTGGTTTAGTTTTCTAAATGAAATATTACTAAAAGCTAATATTTTCAATATGGTATTTATTGAATGCACATATATGTAAATACACAAATGACAAAGGCGAAGGTGTATATTCTATAAATGAGGCTTAATCATTTTTATGTTACATTCAATTTCATTTATATAAGGAAACTCTAAGTATTCAAGCGAATATGATTTCAGAATTCGGCATTTTCACTATGAAAGAGTACTTACATCATTTGAAACATTGTCATTGATTTCGTTAACCGATCATAACGTTCGAACGTTCGTCCAAAAATCAGGCTTAACAGCACGGCGAGTTATGTATGATGTATCTGATGATACTTACAAGAAATGCACGCAAAAAATGGTAGTTGTGCGACAGTGAGAGCTGTGTGGTTTGCAGTCGTTGCCGGTACCGGGGCTGGGACTGCTGGGATTGCCTCGATTAATGTCAACTGTGCCACTGCTACTAGACGTCGTCATTCGGTAGCAAGTCATCCCCATTCCGTCAATAATTCCCAATCCGCTCATGTCACAACAAGTACAACTACTACAACGACAACCATCACCATCACAACGACCGCCACCGCAACCACTACAACCACAACCGCAATAATATCCCATCAGAGAACCCTGTCGCTGCCCTTAGCTGCTGTTATTATCAATCAAACGCAATCATCCAAAAGATCTGTTTTACGCTGTATGTATTTTCGTTTCGTCATATGTTAAAGCAGTCAGAGATATCTTTCTTTCTCTCTCTCTCTCTTTCTCTCTCTCTTTCTTTCTCTCTCTCTCTCTCTCTCTTTCTCTCTCTCTCTTTCTCTCTCTCTCTTTCTCTCTCTCTCTTTCTCTCTCTCTCTTTCTCTCTCTCTCTTTCTCTCTTTCTCTATTTCTTTATTTATTTCTTTTCTTATATTTCAACTGTTCTGCCACTATACTTCACCATTTGTTTTCAATCCAATTTGACGCTCGTGATGAACACACTGAGCCACGATTATGATGTATTACCTGTGACTCGAATTTCGATGAAAGGCCATAGATGTAAGCTTCCGCTTGCATGTGTCAGGAGATGCACGATTTCTCCGCAAAGAAGACGATTTTTCGTTTTGATCTCCTTTCGATTCGATAAACCTATCTCTCTTTGCTGCTCGTCAACTATCGAGCCATGACTCTAATATTCTATCGAATATTTCTACGAATTATTTGGTACATATCTTCGATTTAATTTCATTGCGCATTGTTATATCACGTATCCTCTCACTATCATCATCCATATTGCTTGACTCATATATAAATATATATATTTTAAGATGACTAACCAATAAACAATATATGAACATATAAAACTATATATATATATAAAAATTGGATATATGCGAATAAACTAACCGCTGCTGTGCTGGGACAATGATATTGGCTTTTTATACTGTTCGTTATTAAAATAACACATTTTCAAGGGATGATTCTAATGAATATATTTTCAGGTACCACTGGACGTGACAGATGCGACAGTTTGCCATCAAGAGCTCGGACAACGAGTGAATGTCATCCAACAACAGTTGTCCTGAGTCATCCTAGAAGTTCTCATTTTATATCTCACGTACCCAGACCTCACTCTATGTATGGACGAGGTCTGTCTTATTCTCCACCAGTTTCCTCAATGCCGATTAGTCCAGCCTCAGGAGCATGCTCAACTGATTCAGCTGGGTCTTCTCTTTCTATGGAGGATGGTATTGAAAATATTTTAGAAGAAGGTACTGGCTCGAGATATGGTCATTCGTTGACTCCCGACGAGCCAGTCATTTTAGAAGAGAATGGGGACGATTATGCTGCATGGTCTACGACGCATTCGCATCATAAATACTCGCCAAACTTTAAATCCCATTCTCCGTCACAGGTGAATTAGTACAATTTTTGTTCAATTTATATTAACACGTTCGTTGTCCCATATTTTGTGTACAATATATTTATACGTATATTCTTTTTTGACAGCAGAGTTCCTATGTAGAAATGTATAGTCCTTGTGGTTCGAGTCCTGGACGTGGTGGAAATTACATGCCAATGAGTCCAGCGACGACAGCTTATTCCCATTCTCATGCATCGTCTCTTGTAGAGGAGTCGAATGTTTTACCTGATGGCTATGTTCCAATGGCGCCTGTTGGCGATGATGGCTATGTAGATATGGATCCATCAAGCAGTCATAATGGTCATTTTCCAGATGACATGTCACAACACGGTGGTAGTAGTTGCTCAGTAACTTCTGGCACACCTAGTACAGATTTACGTTTTTCCGAGTATCACCTAGATAAAGTAACCAGCTTCTTTGCACCAGGAGAAGATTTGCAAGCTAGACCAACTAGAGCGTATTCGGTTGGATCTAGACCAGAACCAACTAATAAGCATCGTAAAAATAGGTACGAATTCAATACTTTTATTATTAATGTATTCATAATACATATATAGAACATATATGATATCAATTTAATATCATATTTTTGTGTGTATATTTGTTTGAAATTATAGATTAGATATCACGCAGCAGGAAGCAAGTAGAGTGAGAGCATTCTCTGTAGGCAGTCGTTCAAAGAGACCTGAACTTGGCAGATTAGCTAATGTAGTTACAACTCCTTTGCCATCTAGTTCGGATAATTCCAATTCAAATAAATCAAATTCAGCGCCGTTATTATCCAGTTCTTGGGGTCATAATTCTGGTTGTTCTGGTACATCCGAACGAATGGAAGATCTTATGGAATTAGATTTTACAAGACAAAGCGTTCCAGCTACTCTTTCATCACCACCTTCTTCCTATACACAGTCACAATCACAGTCATATTCTACTGCCACCACCGACACTAGTTCCTATGTCGATATGTCTCCTGGACAACCGCCTACATCGACCACTGCCTCGTACGTCGACATGAGCGGCTTAAATAAGGTATTTCATGTTTTTTAATGTGAACCTTATTTACAAATTTCTTATCAAATAAATTCTTTTAAATATATCTTCTTTTTTTTTGTCTTTCTTTTTCTCTTGCAGATCAATCGTAATAATAACAATAATTCTATCACTGCCAATCAGAACCATAGTCACGTTCATGTAACATCTTCGGCTTCCACACACAAACCCGTCATAACAACCTTGAAACCAGTGGAAGAAACAGAGGGTTCATATATGAAAATGGACGGTAATATGGAAGATTGGTCGCTATCAGGTGCAAGTCCTAAACAAATTCCATCACCTATGCAGGAAGACTGTATTCAAACGAATGGCCCACCAGGTCGGTTAATATTTACTATTATATTTAACATATTTATTATCAACGCAACAAAAAAGAGAGTGACTTTATTTTCTATTAGGTCTTAACATATTGTTATTTATAAAGGTGGTGCGAGAACGGCCCCGGTTGATTTACCTCAACCTAGACGACCTCCTGAAGGATATGTAGAAATGTCCTTTAAAGCTAGGCCAAATTTAGAACAAGATTATATTAATATAAATATGAGTATGGTTGGACGGAACAACCGAAGAGTACGGGTAAACAACAGTCGCAAGGAAAACTCACGATCACAACCAATCGCTATTCAAGCTGGAAGTAAACCATTGAAAGCACCCAATTTCTTACCTCTTAATGGTAGTCCAACATCGGAAAGTCTAGCAAGTACACCAGCTTCTCCTCCACGTGCTACACCTACTGGCTCGGCAGCTACTATTTTTCCCTTCTCTTTAAATAGTCCTCAATCTCCTATAAAACCATTTACGCATCAACCAAAATCTGATGATACTTCTTCGAGGATTGATACGGATTTAAAGAATAATGATTATGACATTACGTCTGATAATACGACCAAAAAAATGAACACCATTAATCCAGTCTCGATGACAGATACTACAAATAATTCAATATCAAAAATTATTAACGACGAACCATTAAGTCGTAATACGGATCAAACACGAGTTATATCAAACTCGATATCTTCTCAAGAATGTACGTTGAATTCATTAACAAAAAAATTTGCCGATCTTACAGTATCGAAGCCACGATTAGTTACTGCATCACCTAATACCAGTCCGACGTTATCGGGTTTTAAAACTGCTATGTTACAACAAAAATCGTCATCGCCGAAATTCATTGATGAAACACCGATACAAACACCTACGTCTACTCCAACTCCTACGCCTAGTCCTTTAGATAGCGATGGTTATGAGAAATTACAACCTGGTGCAACAGTTTTACATTATGCTAGTTTGGATTTACCTGAACTCGCTACCGTGGTACCCGTATCGCCCGCATCTGTTCAGGAAGGCTTCAGTTATGCCGAAATTGACTTTACAAAACTGAAACAAAATTAACTTTTATGGTTCAAAGGTGTGCCGTTGTATTTTACAATATTTACATCAGAGCTCTGTGTGTTTGCAAATTTGAATAGTAAGCAGACAGTATGTTTGATGGGTTTTACATCCTAAATTAGTTCGATGAAAATTATTGAATTCGTGCAAGGTTCCGGGTACCAGTTGTGTATAATTTATTTCTTTTATCCCAGCATCTGAAGTGTAATCATTTATTGGGTTTTTGTAAAGCGTTTTTTCAATTTCTCTCTTTTTTCTTTTATTTTTCTTTCTTTTTATTTATTAGTTTTTTTTTTTTTTGTAAAAAAGAAACAAAGAATTATTCGCACTTATAATTCTGGTATAGCATTTGGACGTCGTTATTGTATGAGAAGAAGATATTTATTTATATTATTTTTATGGAAACAAATATATATTGATATACATATATAACGTAATTTGTAATTATTGCGAGAAAAAGATAAATCTTGGATCTGATGTGCACACAACTGTGCGAAATAAAAGAAAAACTTAGGCAGTTATAGTTTAAATAATGTATATAGAATTTGTTCACAGCATTATGACATTCCAAGATAGATAATTTCTCAGATGAAAATCTTTTAATTCAAGTTAACTGTCCACGGGCAATTTAATGTAAAGTATCTTTTATACATTTGGCTTTTTAAAGTTATATTACATAGAACACTAATTTTACAAATTTTTAGATCTTTTGTGAATATATTTTATATTAAAAGAGTGTTGCATGTCATCAGTGTAAATTTTTGGTAATTATTTAAAAAAGCAAAAGAACAAAAAAATAAAAATTATTTTTAACTAATCTGTAATTATATGTAATTAGTTAATCATATTTTCTGGTAAGAATGATAATTTTACAGACATTATAAACTGCCTGAACATACAATGCGACTATTTAATGGCATTACCAGAAATATAAGAGCATAAATTGCTTTTTTTAAATATTTTTCATATTATGAAAAATCTGTTAATAGGGCATCGAGAAAAATCACAGTAATACGATTACAGACAAATAGACGCACCATAAAGCGAGGTATAAATATGTTATCAGCTTTTTCATATAAATTATGAAGTGTCAGAATACCTTGAGGTAAATTTGAATATATATATATATATATATATAATGTATACATATGTGTGTATGTATATATATTTCCACATATGCATACATATTTACTGGGTAATCTGTGAAAAAGGGTACAATCGGAAAAAGTGGTGATTGCTTGTTTAAAAATAGCTAGAAGCGGAAAAGAATAAATGTTTTTTAGCTTAATGAAGATTTGAGATCTTAATTATACATGTAAAAAGAAAGAAAGAAGAAAAAAAAGAAGAAAGATAGAAATTTAGTTATTAATTAGGTATTCTTGTCTATTGACTACACTGAGTATAAATTATATCGGCGTTGTTAATATTGATTTGATGAGTATGCACTAGTTTCCATAGAGTATAATATATGCTATGATATTACGCTTGTTAAGCTACGAGTAGCGTTAAAGATTTTCGTAAACTCTCTTTGCTATTTTTAATGTCGCGTTTGACGTGAATCGTTTTTAAATCGGTGATCATTTTTTTTTTGTCGGTTATACCTTAACTTGCAGTATACCGCGTATATACATATGCATCGTCCAAATAATGCTATAAATATATAAATATATATATGTATATATATATTTATATAGAATAATATATGTATATGTATATATATATATATATTTATATATACATATATAAAAATATAAATAATATAATATTAAGTATAACAATATATTAATAAATAATAAACGCGCAATGTATATGTACATATATATCGCGATCGTATGATTACTACAAATCCTTTAGAAAACGTTCCTCATACATACTTATCTTCCTCAAAGTTTTACACTTTTATTTTTTTGCAAAAGTATATAATTTTAATATTTAATATCATTTTGTAATATTTTTATTTTGCTTTTATAGATGAAGGATATCTGAAAACATTTTTGATGTAAATATTTTATTATTTCCTCAGGTAATCATCTCCGAGTTTTAATATCTAATTTTTCATTTGTAATTTAGTTATCTAATATATTATTGTTTGATTTGGACGTGATTTGTGATTTAATAATAATCAAGAATAGACAATTTAATATTACAATGATTATATGCAAAATTTGCACAATAAAAAAGATGCATAGAATTTTTAGCAATGGCATCTTTAATAAACAAAATTTTAATATAAATGCTTATATAAAGAAATCTATGTACTTAAAATATGTATTTTTTATTTATTTGAAAAAGTTATTTGTACATGGATACTGTTGCTGTGTTTGAATTTTCCCGCGCGCTCGTCCAGTACAGAGGACGCTGCTGTATCAATTTGCTTCTGCGCGTCGCTTAGTTAGAAAAGTGCAGACGCCGTGTACACATCATTTCGTGTTCGGTAGTGTATGAAATATGTATATTAGTGGCGCCCCGTATTTATACGCGAAGTTTCAAATCCCACGTGTTCTTTAATTACTTATGCACATACATACATTACCAATTAATTGGTATTAATAGGATATAAGTGCATTAAAAATAATTTGTGAGAAATAAACAGAACGCACAAAGATAAAATAAATGAAACAGATAAAATTATATTATTTGAATTGTTTTTAGTATTGATAAATAATCCATAATGGATCTTCAAAATAATTTAGATACATTTACATGTGCTTTTCGTGAAGCTGTTAGATCTTGTAAATCAGACACCGCTACGTTGGATAGTACATTTAGAAAATTGCTAACCTCTGCTGGAAAGTATAAGAAAGAAATACTTATATCTTTTTTTGATAACTTTAATGATACACCATTTAATTTTGAAAATAAAATTGATAATGTTACATTGTTGGAATTCTTTCAACAAATTGTTGATGATATTTTATTAGTGAAAATATTGAGTCCTGTTGATTATAAGGTGCTTACAAAGATAACATATTTTTATCCTACCATCGTTGAAAAGAAAATTGATAATATTCTATATAAATTGTATTTACAAGAAACAACGATAGAACGTAATGATCTGTTCATTGGTATTTTGGATGCCAGCATTTTATTAAGACAAGAAGATAAATTAATTTCACAAGTTGTAACAACTTTGAAAGCAGTCATTGCTAGTGAAAATGAATTAGAAGAATCAGATTTGTCGGTAAAATCATTTCTTCCATTTGAATTTACAAATAAATTTACCAAATCGATCTCTTCGTTTACAAACTCGCATGTTTTGACAATATTAAAAACTTTGATAGATAATTTAAACAGATGTTGCCTGGCATCATTGAAATGTAATACAACTGGTTAGTAAGAAAATTAAAATATTTATAAATATTTCATGTCAATATAAATTTATAATATATTAATTCGTCTAATATCTTATAGGTAATTGTACGATATTGTTAAAAGCTGTGACAGAATTATTAATTGGATGTTTAAACGGTGTGTGTATCATTGGGAATACATCGACTTTGGCGTATCAACAAGAATTCATAAATGTTTTAAATGAATTAGGAAAAGATCTATCACGTTTAATAAAAAAAGCTTTGCATGTAAATCATAATGCTAATATTATTGCTGTTTTATTATCTGTTATATTGTCATGGAGCGAAATTCAAAATATGACAAGATATTATTTACCAAATATTCACAAGGATGAATTAATATTTCCTATTTCGGATGATCACTGGCAACAACTGATTCAACGAATAACTAATTTCGGTGAAGAGGAATGCATAAATAACATGGTACTTATAATCATTATTTCTTATTCCTTAATCATTTATTGACATAATACAAATATTATTATATTATTTCAGAACAAGCTTATAATACATCGTATCAAATATTACGGCACAGTTGATTCTACCATCAAATTAGATACCTTAATAAATGGTTTAAAATATTTTTGGAGTTTCATATTGAAATATAATTCAGAAATAATTTCATTATTAAATGATAAAGAACTTTCTGAATTGGTTTCATTACTTGTGGAGGATATGACGTTAAATGAATGTAAATTTAATGAATGGTTAGAAATAATAAGAAATGATCATTTGCAAGAAAACAAACGATTTGTAATATATCTTTTATGCCATATTCTTGTACAAATGGGAATGATACCAAAAAAAGGTGTAACCAAATCTATTTCGCAGCATGTAGACACAGTAAGTAAATCTCTTGAATATTTTTTTATAATGCATTCCAATATTATTCATTATTAAACTATTTTTCAGAAAGTAGTACTGTCTACAGAAGTTTTAGGAAAAAAGAAAATAAAGAAGATTTTAGAAACCGTCAAAGTAGAGATACTTCAATCTCAATGGGAACAAATGAAAAGTACAGAAATTGCTAAAATTAAATTGTATCTAAATATTCTTGTTAATATGCCAATAGCATATTTTAAAGCTAATGTTAGAGCTTTATTATTTATGATTATATTTACTGTCAACAAAGAATGCACGAAAAGCGAAGATGTAACAACTTTATGCAACAAAATATTTCTCAGTAAGTTTGAATTCATTGAATTATTCAAATACTTATATAAACTATTTTATTAATCATTTGTTTGTATTTATTTACAGAACTTTTTCAAACTACTGGTCTTGACATTTTACAATATATAGATCCTGTATCAATAATACATCAATTATCTCAATCTAAAGCTTTTGAAAAAGCGTTAGAACAATCACTACGAAATATTAAATCTTATGAGATTTTAAAAACATTAATAAATTCATCATCTATTAATAAGGAAACTATGTATATACTTTTACAATGCATAGAAAATATAAGACAGAAATTAGACGCCGATCAGAAATCTATTTTTAAAAAAGCAGAACATAAACTATGTAAGAAATTGTTGAACACATTACCAACACTTATTGAACTTCCTTATGATGTAAAGTGTTTAACATTGATATTAAAAATGAATGCCTTAAATAAGGAAACCGAGAGTAATTTAAAAGAACGTATAGAATTAACAGTAAATAAAATATTCACGGTAGGTGTATAGAATAATTTGTGATTTGTTATAGTAATGTAATTCAATGTATTTTACAAAGATTAATTATTAACAACAATTTGAAATAATATAATAATATATCTCTTTATTTATTTAGTCAACACAAGAAGCACATTCTAATGAGTTATTAGAAACAGGATTACAATTGGCAGCTATAATATTTCGAAATTATCAAGAATTTCAAATTTCTTCAGAAATTAGAACACAAATATGGTCTTTAATGTTAAATTATCCTTGTGAGGATTTACTTCCACCTCTGATAGAATCTACCGAAGTTGGACAATTGAAAAAAATTCTATATTTGATGCAAGCTATAATGGTAATTGAAAATATATTTATTTATAATTGATATATGTTAAAACTTCTATCCATTGAATAATTTATAATTTTATTTATATTACAGATAGAAGAATTACCTAAATCAAATAGTAACAAGTTAGAAAATATTTTTAGTGTTTTGAATGCTTTATTGAAATCAGATATGTCAACACAACGTAATAATCTTCGTACAGCAACTATTGAAAATTTATTTAAAAACATTCAAGTTGTAAACGTATCAGAACAACATTGGCCAAAATTATTAGAATCACTTCAGAATATACTCATTTCTAAACATTTATATGTATCTGATAATATTATTGATCTTAGTATGAATATTGCATTACAAGCCTTAGAAAAAAGAAATCTTTCAATATGCAACAATGTTTTAATATTATCTGGAATTTTAGTTAAAGTTAAAATAGACATAATAGTAGATAGATTACCAGTATTGCTAATTTTATTTAGACGTTTGATTACTATTATCATTCAATTGTCGAAAACTGTTGATAAAGCTCAAGATCATTTTTGTCGATGTCTCTTACTTGATATTGAAAAGTAAGTATATATATATATATAATATATTATCAAGTATACAGGGTGATTTTTCGAACGGAGGCGGGTAATAACTATTATTAATTACATAAATAAATACAAAATTTATACTTTAAAGAAATATTATTATTTTACAGATTTACAACATGTTTGGTAAAACATAAAAAAGATCTAATGCGTATAAGTCCATATGTCATAAGTGATTTGATTCGACTATTGTCAGAAGGAGGTTTAAAACCTTTTATAAAGGTAATTATATATACCTTAGTAAAATATATATCTGTTTCAAATTTGATAACATTTGTGTATTATTATTTTACAGATATCTTTGGAAAATACAATAGCTACGTTATTCAGTATTTGCGATCAACATGGCATTGCTTTATTATCTCGTACGCTTCCAACGAATCTACAAGAACTTTTCAAAACTCAATTTGATAATTATAATAAATTTCATAAATTTCTTGGAAAGATATGAAATAATAAATGAAATAAATGTAAATAATCTATTTTTAGATATAATCATATTACTTCCAATAAAAAATTATTTCCAAATAAAATTACTATAGATTGATTACTATGATTATATTAATAAAATAACTTTTGTAAATATATATTATATATATATATATATAATATTTTAATTTTTATTTGTATTTTATTTGTATTTGATATATAGACCAATAAAAAATATATTTTATATATTAATATAATTGTAAGATATAATTTAAGAAGTATACACATCTGTGTATACATTCCTATTCGATATATCTATATATATAGATTATGCAAACCTATCTAAAATGCAACCTGCAATCTCTAATAAAATAAACGTGTAACAAATTTGAATTTAAATAATATTTATATCGCAAATAGTTTCTGTACGTTAATAAGATAATTTTATTAAGAAAATATATGAAATAAAATGATGTGACAATATTTCAAAGTTATATTAAAACATAAATAAAATTTTTTAGGTTAACTGTGATGAAGTTGAGAAGATCATTGAGATTTGATTCAATTTTTCTCTCTATCGTACTTGGTGTAATTGGTGGTCTTTACATTTGGGCACCTATATTGAAAGAATTAAAAATTAAAAATGACAAACGAGAACAGGTAAATCATCATAAATATATTGTATTATAAAGTCATTTATTTTAACCTAACTTTATACACACACGCGCGCGCACACACATACACACATATATAATATGATTATAGAATTTTGTAACTTGGTAAAATTGTCTAATTATTGAAAAATATTATTCTCTCAATATCTGTTTATATATTTTATTATATTAAATTTGTCTTCTTTATTTTGATCAGTCCATTACAGAAACTGTCGACAATGAATCATGGGAAGATTAAAATTGCAATCGGATTTATAGCAGTATATTTTTCTATTGTAGGAATCAAGTAAGTCTTAAATAATAAATAATTATATAAATAAATATTAGAATAAAAAATGATCTATCGCTGGATTGTTTATATTCCATTAATATTAATTAATGAATTCATTTCTTTTCACAACAGAATAAAATTACTACCATATTTAAAGAACAAAAAACTTAAAGAAGCTGAAGATTTTGCTAATATAATATATAGAAGTGAGTCTAAATAATACATTTTTGTATTAGTATACGTATATATTATATTGGAACTTTGTCATTAAATGACTTCACAAATTTGCAATACAATTGTTACATCTATATAGAAAATATTTAATATACATTTTATTCCTCAAATTTTCCTCCATAAAAAGGAATATATCTATTTACTGGTTTCCAATCCGTAAAATAAAGTAAACCAAACCCTGCCGCTGCTCCATATCCCATCAAAGATGGCATCCTGAAAAATGTACATATTACAAAATTAATCTTAAAATCAAATTAATCAATTCGTAATAACCAAATTATGAATTAAAGATTTTCAAATTAATAGATTATATTTGAAATATTTATAAAAATTCATTCAACGTTTTTTTTAGTAACATATAATATGATGTTACATAACTTATATTATTAACAAACACATTTGATATGATTTTCTTTTTTGAGAATTAATATCTCATGAAAATTATTGATTCCACTGTTAAGTTAAATAAGCTTACCAACTTCCTAACAATTCAACGTGTTTTTTGCCAATACGCATTTTTGACAAGTGATATTAAAATTAAGGTTTGCTATTAATTTGCCAATAGTGGTGTCACCTTTTCTTTCTAGTAGACGATTTCTGTGAAATACAAAATAGATAATTATAAATATAACAAACAATATTTTATATAAGAATAATACATAATACTGATAATAATTTGTTAAACATTTAAGAAAATATATAAACGTACGTCTTCGACTAGGTAAGACTGAATTCTTCAGCCAAACTAATGTAGAAGATAGTGGACGGTAGGGTAGATACTCCATCTGACGGCACCTCGATTCTTATACATATATATATAGACGTATAATAATATAATAATAATTACATATACAAATTATTATTGTCCATTTAACTTTACAATTGTTTCAGATAAAATATTTTGAAAATCTTTTATTTCTAATTGGCTTAAATTCCAATAATGTATTCTGATTGTAAATATCGATAATCGAACGATAAGATTTGAACACATTTAGTTTAACCTAACTGTATCTGTGACAGTTAACATTGTACAGTCAGATAGATATGTCATTTCATTTTTCTCTATTTTGTTGAGTTTCAATAATGTATATTAAAATGTTTCTTCTTTTTTGTGTGACATACTTAGTATTTTTTGTACCATGTTTAGCTAGTAAAGAACTAGAAGAACATGGAGTTAAATACGCTGATCAGTGTGAAGGTATAATAACCTATTCTTTTATTATTTCATAAATTATCATCGTTTGCTTCATTTATGAGCACATATCAATTCATGGCATTCTCCGATTGAATACACATAATAGTTTTTTCATTTCATTTCATTTTATTATATTATATTTCTTTACAGCATGCAAAGTCGTAGCTACTGAATTAGAAGCAAGATTAGATGAAACTGGGAAAACGCATGATGTACTTGAAATTGGCTATTCCGTTGATGATATCGCACCAAAAAAGAGAAAAGAATATAAAAAATCGTAAGTATTATAAATTATAATAAATACGCGCGAATAATTAATTTATATATTACTTTATATAAGTAATATATATACTTATATAAATATTAATTTATATATTACTTATTCTTCATTTTAGAGAATTACGTTTGGTAGAATCAATGGAAAATATTTGTGAACGTATATTACAATACAATATTCATAAAGAGCGAACGGATAGTACAAGATTTGCTAAGGGAATGAGTCAAACATTTAAAACCCTTCATGGATTAGTGTAAGTAAAAATGTTTCATTTAAAATACAAATGTATATACAAGGTGTTTTCTATGATTGCTTGTAACAGCGAGCATTCTTAATATGTTTATCAGATAAATTATAGGACACCTTGTATGATGTGTTTGTCATGTTTTTCATAATGAAATTATAAGAATAATAACATAAATGTTTTCTTTTATATATAGAGACAAAGGTGTCAAAGTAGAATTAGGAATCCCGTATGAATTATGGGACAATCCTTCGGTAGAAATTACTACATTAAAATCGCAGTGCGAAAAGTTATTGGAGAATCATGAACAAGATATCGAAAATTGGTATTATAATTATCAAGGAAAAGTTCCTTTAATGAAATATTTGTGTACGGATAGAGCGCTTAAAGGACAGGATGATTCGTGTCTTAAAGAAAAAGGTGATACTGGGAAAAATATTACGAAAAAGGCAAAAAAAAAAGTACAAGAAAATAATAATATAAAAGAAGAATTATAATATGTACATTAGATTTTTGTATACTTATTATATTATTTTGTAAGAAAATTACTTTTATTTATTACAATAATCTTTAAAATGAAAAATAGATATAATATAATAATAAATAATTCAAAGAAGTGCCATATATTATAATTGTTTAATAGATAAAACAGTTAATATAGTTTTATATTCATTTTAATTATAAATACTAGATTTTGTTATTACACTTTGCTTTTTATACTTTACATTAGTAATGTTATAAGGAAGATGTTAAAGAAAGTTTTATTTTCTGAATGGTGGTGGTATCCATTTCTTCTTACCACGTAATTCTCTCAAACGATCATATTCTTCTTTGAAATCTTCATGCTCATCTCTGAATAAACCATAATCACGTAGATGTAACATCAACTTCTGTATATCCTTGTGTCGAGGATAATAATCTACGATTTCTGGTCTTTTCTGAACAGGCTTTTCACTAAAAAGCTTAACTACTTTAAGTGATTTTTGATTTGTTGGTCTAACAACTTCACCAAAGATACGATTACTCAAACGATTCATACGCTTGGCATAATTCGTTCCAACAGTCGCCAATTGTAGATATTTATTCATTTCAATGAGATCAAATTATATCTGATAATAATTTTAAAGTTAATTCTCTCTGAACATTGGTATTTATATCAAACAAATTGTTAATGGCACCATAAATGAGATAGAATCTGCTTGATATAACCTCAAATATATTTAGTTACTTTGTTATATCGTTTAAGCAAGTGTACCATCCTTTGAATACCGAATATCACTAAATATTTCTAAGAACATTTCTTTCCTAAAATCATATTTATTATTATTTTGTAATATTGATATTCAATAGTTTACATATTTCTTATTTATGAGGTAAGATTTATTTCATATTTATTAAAAGGCTGATACTTAGTAATAAGATATACGATGGCATCTCTTTTACTTATTATAATTGTTTGTATTAGGGGGACCGGAAAGAGAGTAAAAATTAGAAAATTTGAATGATATTCAAAATGTAATCTGCACACACAAACATTTTGTTAAAAAACCAATTGATTTTGTGTGATTGAAGAATATTCAATTTAATTAAAGGTACCTTTATTATTCACTTTGTTATACAGACAAAAAATATATACTTTTATTTGTTGTATTTATTACACATTTTCTATGCTTTTACAAAAATATTCAAATAGTACAAAATAAAATACTTATGTATCTTTTCATAGATTATAAATTTTGATTTCAATAAGGATATTGTCAATATATAATGCAGTTCTTGAGAGGATTCTTTTATATCATAAAGAAGTATCTTATACTTAGAATATAAACCGGAAATCAGGATTAATGGGATTTGGATAAACGGAGAGTTCCTTTATACTGTTTGATTATATCCAAAATAACATATTTATTAATTTGACTTTGTTTTTTTTTTTTTTAATATATATCTATATATATTTATATATATACTTTACTTTAGCAAAGCATAAAAATTCATTTGATATTATGACTTTTTTAGATTAGTTTTATATTCCAAAAGCATGTTATTTTCCGGTGGTAATGAAAGACATGCTCTTAATAAATTTTCTATAGCAGCACGTTGTCTGAATAATGCATTTATCACAGGTGTACCTTTTGGTACCAATGGCGCTTTCAACAAATATGACAGGATAGAAAGAATACTATCAAAACGTCGTGATTCTTCTACTCCTTCATCCTCATGTCGGAATGTAATACGAGAACATAATTCAGCAAGTAATACCAAATCTAAAATAATTGGACTTGCCAATAAAGAATCCTCGCAAGTATTATGTACTACTATAGTATTATGACCACCAAGCATTATTTCTGACATGTATTCATCCATTGCCCTTTTGCTATCACCTATTTGTAACAAGATATATATATTTATTACAATTTAATATTAATCTAAATGATTGATAATATTATTATAATATGTTTTTAAACTTACCAACATATGGAACATATTTAATAACGACACAGTGATCTGGTTTTTCACCAGGTTCGTATAAGATTTGATTAGATTGAACCATATCATCTACTACGTTGCTTTTAGAAATCTGAAATGTATAAAATAAACGTTGTTTGTGTGTGTGATCTTTTAAAAATTAATTTTTAACAAGGATTTACCTCTTTCGAACGAAATTGTTGAGGTGCTGATAAATTGTAACCATCGTTGTTTCCAAGATGATTGTAACTGACGATCGATACTGGTTTTATACCTGCTGACACTAAGAAATCAACGAGAACGGATTTCAATTTTGTTTGGCCCGATTTAAAATCATCACCGCCGATAAACGTTCCTTGTCTTTCGGCCAATTCAATTGCACCCGGTACAAATGTATTTTGTGGTGAACCATTTATATAAGTGCACTAAGAATAGTTTAAAAGATTAATATTTAGAAAAAAAGAAAGACTGTAAAATAATGTTATACAATGTTACCCCTTCTAATGCCGCGGCTACGGCGAACATTGTACTCGGACTAATTTCAGGATGATTTTCATTAATGGCTTTTAATAAATTGTCAGCAGTATCATTTACTCCTGGATTAATATTTGAAAATCTCTCTGTATTAGCAGTCCACAAAACGATAACTTGATCCAAATTTTTCGACGCTTTAAATTCCGCAATATCTTTTCTAATCAATGTCAATTGTCCGAGTTTTGTTTCTTGTATAACATTATCAGCTCTATCTTTCTAAAAAGAACAAAATATTTATAACACATTTCGTGTTATAATCGATAAAAAGAAAAAAAAAAGAAAACAATAAATAAATAAATATATTTTACTAACTTGATTAGATGCGATAAAATCAGGATAATATATACTTTTTCTCGGTTTTATATGAATCATATAAGGTTTCAGTTGTTTTTGTAAATTAATGTCTATAACTTTAGCACGTTCCATGGCATCGGCAAGATTCATACTTGAAATATCCCAACCATCAATTTCAATATCGTTTGGATTAACCATTGGTAACATTGATGACATTGGTACAAATACATCTTGATTATCTTTGCTTCCTAATTTAACGGTTGATGCTTGAAGCAATGAACCATACCTATATATATATACATACACATTATTTAACTATATACACACATATTATTTAACTATAAATGAAAATAATTAATAATTACGATCATACCAATTAGCTTTTTTAATTCCAGTTTTAGTTTCCCACGTGAGTTTATGTTTGTTTGCTAATAAAGCTGCCGTTATAGTTGTACCATTGTTTCCACCCAAACCCACTAACATAACACCAAGTTTCGGAACTTTTATTTGGGTTCTTATCAAAAGTTTCGTTGTTACCGGTTTTACCTGTAATCATATATCGTATTATTATATACCCGTGTGAAGTTATAGGACACCCTGTATATGATTTGCTAATTTATATATATATATATATGTATATATGCGTGAATCATTTCGTACACGCTAATGCTTATATGTTATGCACGTGATCAAAACAATCTTATTTTATTATAAAAAATGAAATAAATGTAAAGAATATTTCTTGAAAAATAATTGATACAAAATGACTCTATATTTTGAAATATTTTAAAATTCATATTTTAGTTTACACGTAAAATATAAAATGTACGTACAATATATCTATAAACATTGGTATCACAAACAAATAAATGTTCGTACATTTACTAAAAGTAACACATTTGAAAATATGTGAGATAAAACAACTATATATGATAATAATAAACCGCGAACTGCGAACTCATTTAATATCGATAGTGTACCTTAGTCCTAATAAAAGATCTTCAAGGACCTTTTTTTTTGAAATGTATGCGAAAGCATCTGAAACTAGTTAGGGAAGGCTAGTTAGGCCAGTAGAGAATACAGTCTTAACATAAGTTATGATATGCCAACGTCGTTCGCATATTATAAATTATAAATTTGTTTGAAAAAGAAAAGAAAAACACTTACCGTGTACTTGTCGTGATCGTCTTTTGACACATTAGTTGTTTGATATTCGTATTCCGATTCGATATAATCTTCGGTATATTTAACTTTCGGCGAATCGATATGAATATTCAAAGCCATCATTTATTTATACTTTTTTCTTTTTTTTTAATTTTTATACTTAAAAATGAAACTTGAAAACCCGCACAATTAAACCAACCGGAAGATATAAGTATATACGTCAAAATAAAAACTGATGGAATATTCAATGTTACGATCGATCGAACTAGCTGATTACTGAAGACCTTCTACTATTTCAGTCTCTTTATAAACCTATCTATATTTATGTATCTATTTAACCAGTTTTACAACATATATATATATAATATTCAATTAAAATATATTAATTTATATATATAATATAATTTTCAATAGAAATTGTTGAAATTTATTTTCAAGGATTTGCGTTTGATTTTATTGATAATAATATTGATTGTTATTATTATAATTATAGATAGATAGGTTTACGAAGGAGACGATAAAGAGAGCACAAGAGTATGGGAAAGTAGAGTGATGTATTCTATCTTAAAAGCTGACTTCGATGTTGAAACGTTAATGTGGCCAGGACAGGCAGGCATGCGCTTTAAAAAGTGCTTAACCGGAACCTCCCCCCTCGAACCCCTATCATCATGCTCTCTTTACACCCCCGTACCCTCCATTTGCCCGACCATTTGCGTTTGACTGGAACCTATTATATTTGGTTACCGGTTGACTTTTATTAACCACTACTTTGGTACTTTGCACGTACCAAAAACGTGCCAACACAATAATCCTCTTTCTTCCATTTGTGTCAATATAATATATATATAGAAAAAAAAAAGAAAAAAAAAACAAAGAAAATATTCAAATCAATAATGTATATAACGAGTAGGTCTGTTTTATTATAAATTGCTAAACTATGAACAACTTCCTTATTCAAATGACTTGCTATTTAACGTTACTTTATAAGTTGCTTTTTATGATAACGAAAAATAATTGATTGTAAGAAAAAATATACTTTTTTAACTAAAAGGAAATAAAAAAAAAAACATAGAAAAGATACGAAATAAGAGACATTTATTCATGAATACTTTCAGTCTCGGTATCTATGCTGTTTATATATATTTATGAATAATGAATGAATAAGTATTATTTATGATATTGATAAAAAGAAATAAAGAAATAGTTTATGATCTAATAAAATAGTAAGTTAATAAAATATGAAAGCTATTATTCATTTCTTGTTGCGTATATAACACAAGCTTATAAATTGAAATGTTTTTCCTTCTTTAAAGGTCGGAAATGAAATTTTCCTACAATGTTAATTTTATTTTAATATACTATCAATTTATTATTCATAAAATATAATTGTAAATCTCTCTCTCTCTTGTTATATATGTATATTGTTTTTTTTTTTTTTTTTTTTTTTTTTGAAACGAAATAAACCGATAATTTATTTTATTGAGCATAGTATTGAGAGTAAGTTTCTAGAAGGGTATAATAAAAGGAAGGCATCTTTCAGCCCCCAGTCTTTATTGTTAGTCGGTCTGTGAACTGTTCAATTACATCACGTGTTGTTGGAATGCATAGATTGTTTCAATCAATTGGCACTCGGTGCCTCTAGAACTTTCATAATGGAAGAATTATATTACCGAGTTACTCGTAAGTCGACGCCTGATCAACGATTATGAACTTTAACTTGTTTACAAAAGATGGTTTTATCTACTTCATTGCAAAAAAACACTTTCATTAATTTATTTTTCCTATTTATATTATTATTAATTATAAAATACAGATCATACAATCAAAATACAGATAAATCGATACAAACCGTAACGTATAATTTGTTTCAATGAAAAATTCATTTTATTTTCTTAATTAAATGTTTCTTATATAAATATAAATGATTACTCTATTAAATTAAGTATATTTATGAATATTCAATGGAAAGAAAAATTCATCAATGGCCAGTTGTTTGCGAAAAAACGAGAGTTGAAATTTCACATAGACGTGTATTTCTTTAGCTGTAGTAGTCTACAATAGCGGCGATGTGTGTGCCTTACAAGTCCTTTAATATTCACATAGGATTAACTTTGTTTATCTTTTTTAAGATATTTTGTCCTTTTTTTTTCTAATTCTCAATTTTTCCTTATTATAAAGTAGCTTCACAAATTTTTTTTTAAATTTTTTAGTACAGTATTTTACATTTATTTTATAAGGAATAAAAATTAAAAAAAAAGTAATTAACAAGGATTAAAGTAATAATGAGAATTAATTTTTAGTGTGCCTTGACCGATACATTGCAGAAGAGTTTTGTTAGAGGAAAAAGCAAATGTTATAATATTGTTAGGATACATTTATTTTTATCATATAAACAATGATTTACGTTGCATTCATTTTTAATCATTTAAAAAAATATATTGTCAAATCTGTATTTAATTACCGACAGGTAAAATATGTGCCGCCATCTAGCAGTACTGCTTATTACTTCATTTTACCGACTGGTAAAATATGTGCCGCCATCTAGCAGTTATAGCTATTACTTTTTTTTACCGACCGCTAAAATATGTGTCGTCATCTAATTGGACAAGGACGTAATAACTTAAAGGGACGTTCCACCTTGCAATTTTTAAAAAATTGAATTTTTTTTTTACATTTTTCGAATGTATATATATTTAGAAATATTGTGTTAAAATTTCAAAAAGATCCGATGTCTCTAACTACATTTTTTTGCTGCCTGAACGTTACTATCTCGGACCGCTCTCCTGAGCGTTCGGC